CCCAGCGGCTTCACATAAATGTTGAACAGAAGGGGCGAGAGGACCGACCCTTGTGGCACCCCACATACAAGGGGCCTCGGGGTCGACCTCTGTCCCCCTGTCAACATGGACTGCGACCGGTCAGAGAGAAAGGAGGAGAACCACCGTAGGACGGTGCCCCCCACCCCAACTCCTCTAGCCGGTGCAGCATGATACCATGGTTGATGGTATCAAAAGCCGCTGAGAGGTCTAATAGGACCAGGACAGAGGAACAACCCCTGTCCCGAGCCTTCCAGAGATCATCAACCAATGCGACCAATGCCGTTGCTGTGCTGTACCCAGGCCTGAAGCCCGACTGGAACGGATCCAGATACAACGATTCATCCAGGTACTGAGGGAGCTGTCGCGCTACCACACTCTCAACAACCTTTGCAACGAAGCGAAGGTTGGAGACTGGACGGTAATTTGCCAACACTGCCAGGTCCAGGGAAGGCTTCTTGAGGAGAGGCCTCACCACCACCTCTTTCAAGGTGGCGGGGAAGACACCCTCACTCAGAGAAGCATTTATAATCCCCTGGAGCCAGCCTCGAGAGGCCAGCATGTTCTGTCCCCGTCTCACACACACACACAAACAGACAGCCGGGGGTTAAATAAACTGGCAGACAACCAATTCTTCTGATAAGACGTTTGGCAGCAACCCAGTAGCTGCTTGCCAAGAACTTTTACTCAATAAACAAAATACCCACAGTCAAGAATTGTCCAGTTCGTAAAATAAATCCAAGGCCGATAATGTTGTTTCCAAAGATGCAATGTGACTTGATAGTAGTTAGTTTTGTCCGTCACAGAGTCTGAATGGCCACCTCACCCCCTTTTATACCCTGTGGGGTGTGGTCCAGTGACTCAAGCCTAATCTCTGGCACGCCTTTTCTTCTGTTGCGCACGCTTATCTCTGCGACGCTGCCGAGGATCCAGCCAAGACTCATTACCCTCATCACTGTCCACCTGTGGCTGCATGGACGTGCTTGGCCCCGGCCCTATCTCTTGCCCTTCGGCGGACACCAAAGGCATTGCCAGAGAGGAGGGTCCTGGAGAGGGAGGCCTTGCCAACTCCTCTCCTTCACTCTCGGAGTCCTCTCCTGCTGATGACATAGGCTCAGGTAACGGAGCCACAACACAGCACCAGCCAGGAGGGACATGGGTCCAATAAATATGTGGCTGCGCTCAGTCTGCCCAGTATCCTGTCCACGTCTTCAGGCGTCACAGAATCAAACTCTTCCCAGATAATACTCACAAGACCTGCCTCTGTCCTCCCCCCTGAATCTACCCAGGTGTTCCTGAATCTGAGTGATTTTGTCATACAGATACTGTACAAAATCCTCCGCTCTACCCTCCAAGGGGTTCTCCCGCGCTTCCTGGTGGAGCAGGGAGCGGGTCACCCTAAACAGGGCGGCCGGGCGATTATATGATGACGCAATAAGAGCGGCAAAATAGTTATACTTCACCGCTTTTATTGCCACCAGGTAGGTCTTAATATGAGACCTTATCAGTGTTCGGTCAGATTCAGAATGGCCCTCCAACCGCTCTCCAGGCGTCTTTTTTGGCGCTTCATCTCCCTCAGCTCCTCGGTGAACCAAGGAGCCAGGCGAGATCGGCGCCGGGTCAGAGGCCGCAAAGGCACGACCCGACCCGATCCAAAGCTCCAGCGGCTGCCCTATCCCAGGCGGCCACCAGGTCCTCAGTTGAGCCGTGTGCCAGAGCCTCAGGAAATGGCCCAGGCTCCGTCTGGAACCTATCTGGATCCTGTAAATAACAATATTAACTATCTGAGAAACACTTTAAAAATTTGCTGATCTTTTCAGTGATGGCATTCTGCACAATGCAACTTGCCTAACATTTCCATTGTGGGTTTTGTTTTCTTTTTTGGATGCTTAGTGAAGTCTTTTTTACTGATAATCTGTGAGTGTATTTAGATTTGTGCTCTTTACTTTTTCACACTGCTTTTTGATATTAAAAACATTTTATTTGATTAACAGCATATTAAAGTAGCTGTGGTTAGCTACACAGGCTAGTACTATTATGGCTGTGCCTTTTGCATTGTACTATGTCAGTTTCACACCCACAGACATTGTCTAGGTAATAGTCTATAAATGCCATGTATTTCACTCACTGTTTCCTTCCCACATGCATATTTTATCCTTGCATAATGAGTGCATACATCATGGATGTGCAGCTTTCATTAATGTTAGTTTGGTTTATGCAGAATAATTTCCACTTGACTGGATCCAGTAGGGTCTTTGAAGCATTCCTAACCCAGAAGACTAGCTCATGGAAGATGCACATGCTTTTTCTTATGCACACATGTACATGCAGAGGCATGAAAGACCACGCTATTTATCTGCCAACAACTTTTCAAAAGCTAACTCAGGTTGCTAAGTAACAACCATATAGTTTGCTGCTCACTTACAAAGCGCCATGTACTTAAAAAGTAAGGGAATTAATAGCTGAGGACATTCTAAACCTAGTCTTGCCTTTCTCATGTTTTTTTTTAAATTAAAGTAAGGAAATATGTTATGCCAACAGTTTTCTGTGCTGGGTATCCAGCCCTTAAAAGCATCAAATTTAGGGCATCCCTCTTTGAGTGAGGAGTGGAGAGAGATTTCTGTTTCTGATTATTTCTTAGATATTAAATCACATATATTTCCAACAACTTTCATCCAATCTCCAAGTTAGTTGGAAGTTTTTATGGAAGTTTGTTGAAAAAGTGGTTGGCTGTAGAGTTCCTTGGGGAAACAGATCCTCTGGACCCATTTCAGTTGGGTTTCAGACCTGGGCACAGTATGGAGGCAGCACTGATTATATTTGTTGATCACCTCTGTGGAACCTGGCAAGGGCAGTAGTTCTCTTTGATCTCTCAGCAGTTTTTGATACCATCAGTCATGACATCCTTCTGGACTGATTACAAGAATTGGGAATATATGTGGTTCTACTTTTTTCCCCTCTGTGGTTTGTTCCTTTGGGAGAGAGGCTCAACCTGTGACCCCTCACTTGTGGGGTATCTCAGAGCTTGATAAGCTCACAACTTCTATTTAATGTTTATATGAATCTTCTGGGGAGATAATTGCTCAGTTTAGGATCCAGTGTCATCAATAAGATGATCTCAATCCCAGGCTGCCCAAGAAATACTGCCAATGTTTTATTGGAATAGCAATAGTGCTTAGACTTATATACCGCTTCATAGTGCTTTACAGCACTCTCTTAGAAGTGTCAGCATATCGCCTCCAACAATCTGGGCCCTTATTTTACCGACCTCAGAAGGATCGAAGGCTGAGTCAACTTTGAACCCTGTCAGGATCGAACTCCAGGCTGTGGGCAGAGCCAGCCTGCAATACTGCACTTTAACCACTGCGCCACCATGACTCCTTCTCATCCCAGTGTCTGGAGACTGTGCAGATATGGATGGGGAGGATGGGTTTAAACATTTCCTACTTCCAAAGGACAGAAAATAACGCTGATTTTGGCACAACTTTTAAACAAGAGGTCTGAAGCTTCAGATTGCATATGTTTCAGTTTTTATATTAGCTAGGCCATCCATTAAATAGTAATGTAGTTTGCTTCTTTTGACTGAGTACATTGTGCAAACTGGCCAGTGTGGTAACTAAATGCATGGGTTAATGTGGTGTTTCTTAAAGTGTGGTCCTAGGACTTCTGGGGTTTCTCCAAGACCCTCAAAATTATTTGTCAGCCTATGTTGAAAAATAATCCAATATTAAAATCACACCAAACAATTGTGAGAAGCAGTAGTGGTAGCAAAGGCATAAATTTTAATGTTTATATGGTAAATATCAATAAATATAATCCATGCAAGGCTTTCTGTCATTCAAAGACCTCCAAAACATTTTTTTTTAATGCAACATTTACTATAAATTATGTGTATTACAATGTTAGGGAGATATCTCCACCAGCCTTCCTTAATCTGATGCCCTCCAAATGCATTGGGACAGCAACTCCTCAAGTTCACAATCAAAATGACCAATATCTCAACATACTGGTACTTTGGGGGGGGGTATCAGGTTGGGGAAACTGATCAGTGGGGAAGATGTCATGCCCCCTGAGGCAGACTTCAATTGGGAAGAAGCTCCCTAGAGACTTGGAGAACATGGCTACAAGCAAACATTTTTTTGTGATTCTGGAACCATTGGCCATGACAAGAAGGTAACTATCCCTGAGTGGGCTTGAGGCTGAAACAGTTGCATTCTCTGGATTCCTACTCTGAGAATCTCTTTGTTGTAACGGGACACTGAAACTATTCTGGCTGTTTTTCTAATGTTCTTTAATTTTGCGATTTATTTTTACTCTTAAAGGACTTTTTTAATGAAATTCACAAGCAATCCACCATTTGTATCTATGTGTGCATATGAATCCACAACTATCCTTATGTATTTATGAGTATAGACACAGGTAGAAGCCACGCACAAAGACACAAATTGCTTAGAAAACACTCCTACCGCTGTTAGAACCTGATGCAGTCACTCTGCTGATTTTACTGTGATTTTGTGTATGTTGCTTATGACTGTCTTTGCTGCTGCTGATTTTTGTTCTTGTTATTGTGGGTTTTTTCTTCGTCATCTTTTTTTATGTGGTGCGCTTTATCTTTCATGTTTTAACAGATTTGTATGCTGCCCCAAGCACTCTAGTTATAGAACAGAATCTAAGAAAAATAATAAATAGCACATGTTGACAGAAAAAGATAGATTTGAGAGTAAAGAGAAGTGCTAATTATAGCCCAACCCGCTACCCTCTTCTATTTCATCAAATTTTCCTCTCCCTTTAATTCTACCTCTATCCTGGGTCCCGTTGGCTCATCCAATGGTTAATGCACAATAGATCACAATGGGAAAAAAGGGGAAGACTATTAGGAAGTAGTAATTATGTACATAGCTTAGAACAATATAATTTGCAGAACACTTGACCTTCTTTGGATTTACCCTCACAACAAGATCATTGCTGTTCTCATTTTACAGATGGGGAACTGAGGCTGGCAGAGAGTGACTTACCCAAGGCCATTCAATAAAGGCCATAGCAGTCGGGCTCACAAGAGTCAGCATCCGTTGGGACACACTTAAGCTGTTGTTTTGTGTCCTATCCTGTCCTTAGTGGATCCTGTGAGAACAGCTTTTCTCTTCTGCGTGATGTTCTTCTATACCCTCAAAACATGCGACCAACCCCCCTCTAACCTTTCTACTGGGCAAAACAGCCAGTTTCCTCCAAGTGTTCCTTGTGCAGTTTGTCTTCTAGACATTTATCATCCATGCGACTCTTCTCTGAAACTTTTCCATTGATCAGCATCCTGTCTGAATTGTAAGGCTCAGAAACGAACTGTACTCTACTTCAAAGGAGATCTTACCACAGCCCAATTTTCCATTGCTTCTTGAGCCTTGGATACATTATTTTGCTTCAGCATTATTCTGTGGACTTGTGCATCTATCTGTTCATGCATCTAAAGGTTTAAAAGAAAAAAGGGAGTTAGAAAAAAACAAAAATCTTACAATGTGATGAAAAGGATGTACTTAAGTATTGTTAGCCTGATTGACATGTTAAGATTTATTTTTTCACACAGAATATTAAAGTAGAACGATGCATGATTTTATTAAATAAGTTTCAAGATGGTAAGGTTTGGTCAATGTGCATATGTCTCCTTTCCATGTATTTCTGCTTAAAAAGTCTTCAGTGGATTACCATTAATGATAATTTTCATTGGATAAAGTGGGTTTCTTGTTTTTCCACACCCCAAAGTTCCAGCTCTTCATTCTGAGCATGCAGCTTGTACATCAGGAAAGGCCAAGGATACATTATTGACTGAAGTGAAGGACAAGAAGTTACCCTCTAGTTTAATCAGACTAGAAATTGAATCTAATATGATGCTTCAGGACCGCAGGCTAGCTACAGAGAGCAGAAGAGGCTGCGAGATGCATGAATACTTGTATGTAGGTGTGATGTGTGGGGTGTGTTTGTATAAATATCAACATAGCAGTTAATATGGTCAAATGTATTATTTCATCACAGCTTTATAAGAGTTGGGGGGGCAATCAATTAACTATGTTGGACCATCACTTTAGAAAGCTCTTCTTAGTCTTCTTTTTGGATTTAGAAAGTTGGAAAGAGGTCAATGCCTCATCTTCGACAGATCTTGACAAGATTTTAGGTATGAGCATTGCTGGGGTGGGAGGAGGCAGGGATATTAAATACATTCTTTAATTGGTTTGATTGTGATATTTCTTGGCTTTGGTTTGTAATTTGTTACTTTACAGTGATTGTACAATGCTTCAATCATTTGTGAAAAACTGACTAATAAATGTAGTTGGTGAACGAGCCAGTAAATAAACCACTTTCTGCAAAATACAGTATTTAATTGTGCACAAGCTCATCAGTAAATCGTCATGGAATTAGACATTATCTTGATTTTTGTTCTGTATTGTGTTAGCCACCATTCAGGATCCTGTTCTTATTAATTTGCTTTAGCACTCTACCTTTTCAATTTCTTTGGTTGAAGTACTATTTTCCTACTCTGACAAGCCTTGAGGTTCCTACAGACCATCTAATGCCTCTTGTTCAACACAGAGCCATTTGGGTTATATAAAGAGCAACATAGTAAAACAAATATGATCATCATAAGTGGGAATACACTGAATAGAATAGGGTGAGTAAGTTCAATTTTCTACATAGGTTCTATGGATTATAAATCCTTTGTAGCAGTGGTGAAATCCAATTTTTTTTACTACTGGTTCTGTGGGCATGGTTTGGTGGGCGTGGCAGGAGAAGGATACTGCAAAATCTCCATTCATACCCCCCTCTGGGGCCAGCCAGAAGTGGTATTTGCTGGTTCTCCAAACTACTCAAAATTTCCGCTACCGGTTCTCCAACTGCTCAAAATTTCCGCTACCAGTTCTCCAGAACCTGTCAGAACCTGCTGAATTTCACCCCTGCTTTGTAGATAGTTAATTCTGTACAAAGAAACCTTCAAGCATATGAGAATCAAGTAATACTAATTAGCTTTTAGAAAGAGTAGAACATAAAAATGAAGGGAAAAAGACAAAAATATGAAAACATGAACTTAAAGTTAGAAGCATAGAAATATGTAGGGAAAATGCAGAATAAACTGGTGTAAATAAAGCAAAAAAATCAATCCTAAACCCATAAATGGGAAAAAGAATTAAATAGTCTTATACTCAAGCAGTATTACCAATCAAATGTTTGCTCTAAATTTGGCCACTTGCCGGAGCAAAAATAACCACGAATTCCATGATATGCATTATGGTTATATAACATACATTCTAATTGTGCCTGAGCTAAGAAGCTCTATTCAAAGCAGGTCTAAATTTTACAATAGTCTTGCACAAAACAAACCCCAGAAATCCAAAACAGAAAAAACAAAAAACGTACCGACTTAACTGCGGAGAGACACTTTCCTGATCTATATATGAAATGAAAGTTGTTATTATGGGTAGGCGTTTGCCCAGCAAAATTTTTCCTGATGGAGGAATCTGAAATTGACCTGGGGAAAAAAGGGAGAGCTAAAATCAATACCATCAGCTAGCCATTTTGGAATGTTTGAAAGGAAACAAAACACATCCACTTAGAATACTTGCTGTGTTTATGAAGTCCCATTGCCTTATAAATTATACAGGTGGGAGTTGTTCCATTCAGTAAAATGTTGCAGCATGGAATTGTCCCACACATGAGGCCAGCCAGCCATATCTTCTTCCAATTTCTGCTGTTCCTTCCTCCCAGTTCTCTATGTCCTTCCCACAAAACATTTAATCAGAGAGTCCCCATGAGTCTGCTTAGTCCTCCTCTAATACTTTCAATGTTTCCTCAATCCATCTTTCATTTTCAAAACCTAAAGGAAGTTTTATATAAATCTTGGGATTTTCAAGCCTACAAATGCCTTCCTGTTGTGCATTTTGATTACAAAGTATGCCTATCAAGCCTAAGGCAAATTGATACTCAGTAAATACAGATTACATAGCTTGTTTTTCTATTTTTCTTTTGCATTCTTTACTCACCTGTTGTTTATTTTGGCAACCTCTTTGATTTGGGCAAAGAAGGATTTCAGTAATCTGATGCTAGTTTTTCAGGTTCCAGAAAATAACCAAGTTTTTCTGTTTAAATCAACACAAAGCCAACTTTTCCTGTTGAAGTCATTAATTTTCCTTTGATGCATATGATCAGCTTATACGGCAGACCTGGGCATTTTTTGGCCCCTGGGTCACATCTGGTCCTTTGGCTCTCCCTCTCTGGCGTGTGTGAGGTCAATTGGAAATTGGAAATCAAATGCAAATACAGGTAGTCCTCGACTTACGACCATAATTGAGCTCAAAATTTATGTTGCTAAGTGAGAAATTTATTAAGTGAGTTTTGCCCCATTTTACAACATTTCTTGGCATATTTGTTACGTGAATCACTGCAGTTCTTACATTGCTAACATGGTTAAGTCCTGCTTCCCCATTGATTTTGCTTGTCAGATGGTTGCAAAAGGTGATTGCAAAAGGTGATTGATCACAGTTGCAAAAGGTGATTGATTCCCTGGGAAATTGTCATAAATACGAACTAGTTATCAAGCATCCAAATGCAAATCACATGATCCATGGGGATGCTGCAGTGGTCATAAGTGTGAAAAAATGGTCATAAGTCCCTTTTTCCAGCACCGTTGTAACTTTGAATAGTCACTAAATGAACTGTTGTAAGTTGAGGACTATCTGTAACCATACACCATGCATACAATGCAACTGCATTGCTTTTATTTTGAAGGTGACAGTTTATTTTTGTTTTACTTTACATATGTACGTGCGTATGTGCCTACACATCTCAGTATTGGTTCGGCACTTCACAACAGTCCACATTTTTCATGGGATCCCTTGGAAAAATTAATTGCCCACCCCTGTTATAGGGAGAGAAGGCAATATTGTATATGCTATTTGGTATTTATCAGCTAATCGATGTCCTCAAAAACATTATCTCCCTCCTCTAATCAGGACAATATATCAGGACAGCATATCACTATCCTGGCAGTGCTGAGTACATCTGTTTTTTAACCCCTCTCTGTCTGAATTATGTAATTTGGGGTAAAGATTTGTCTTCCATGCAGAGCATGAGTTGATTTGAAGTGCTGTAGAAATAAGTTGTAACAGTGGTAATTGCAGATGAGGCTTTTAAAAGATTAACTTTTTTAATTATATAACTTCCATTGAAACTACAAAGGAAATACAGAAAGAAAAATACTAAACTTATACATTCCATCAGCAGAAAACAATATATATATATATATATATATATATATATATATATATATATATATATATATATATATATATATATATATATATATATATACACACACACATACTAAGTAATATACATTTTAAAAATTGTGAATGTTTTAAGGTTGTTTAGGAATGTTTAAGGGGAAAAGAAACAATAAAGATTTATCAACCTACTTGACAATACAAAAATAATTATTATATCCTTAGATAAATCACTACACTCAGGTTTTAAATGAAAAATTGAGCCTTGATCATATAGAAACGTATAATACATCCTTTCTTTTCTATGGACAGTCTCAACAGTTCAACTGCTGAGAAGTGATAAATGTCATTAAATCAAACCTCATTGTCTGGTACAGTATGTATTTTTTCTTCCAGGAACACACAATCCCCTTATATTCTACAGTCCAGGCACTATGAATCCAGAGCTCTTTACAAATGAACCCATTCCAGATTTGGGGGATATACCGTAATTTAACAGCATGTTAATATCTACCATATAAACCTTTGCTTCCTCCCAAGAATCTTAATCAGCACAGTGATTATATCTAATCAAAAAGCAATCACTAGTGGCACAACCAAACTATATGCATACATAATGCATACATACCTTCAAATCTCCAACAGAGGAAGGATGTTAGCCAACCTTTTAAAAACATCTAGTGCAGAGGTGGGTTTCAGCAGGTTCTGACCAGTTCTGGAGAACCGGTAGCGGAAATTTTGAGTAGTTCGGAGAACCGAGAGTAAAAATTTTGACTGGCCCCACCTCCATCTATTCTCTGCCTCCTGAGTCCCAGCTGATCAGAAAGAAATGGGGATTTTGCAGTAATCTTTCCTTGGAGTGGGGAGGGAATGGAGATTTTACAGTATCCTTCCCCTGCCATACCCACCAAGCCACCCCCACCAAGCCATGCCATGCCTACCAAGCCACAGCCACAGAACCGGTAGTAAAAATTTTTGAAACCCACCACTGATCTAGTGGGATTGTTTGCTTTGTTATTGTTGTTGCTGTTATTGAATTAGCCTAATTTTTAGTCATAAGAAAAATACTTAACTTTTCTTAAAACCTAAGAATAAACATTTTGTAATATAGAATATTCCAAAGCTCTGTCTCAAATTTCTTCTGCCAAATTTGTTTTGTAAAAAAATATTATTTGCTGGTAATAATAGTTTAGCCGCTATAAAACCTGTTTCATTTCACTCAAAATTACTGGAGTTTCAGAAGCTGTTAAAGCATTTAGCCCAAGCAGGGAACATAACTGAAACTCTTAATTGTATACTGCCTTTCAGGTGTTTGGGAATAAGTTATATTTCTTTTAAAACCTTTGAAAGTATATTAATGATCAAGTAATTAAGAGTAACTATTCCATTTCTCCCCAATATGTTTTTAAGTGTTAAAAATTAGTGGGTTCAGCACTCTTTACATCCTGGCAAATAATTGGTTCCAGTTATAGTAATAATACAATGATATTTTAAGCACATAAGAAGATTAGATGTATTTGGGCATTATTGGGTGAGAAATTAAAATTTGTCCTTAGTTCTCATGGGAAATTTGTAATAATTCTTGTTTTAAAAGGAAGGGTGCCAAGTAACAACGTTTTATCTTGGCCCACAACTGTATTTCCAATATACTTGCATCTAGTATAACACTTGCATCTAATATAACACTACTGCAATGCTCTCTACATGGGGCTCCCCTTGAGGAGCACCCGGAGGCTCCAGCTGGTCCAGAATGCAGCCGCGCGGGTTATTATGGGGGTGACATGGCGCTCCCATGTAACACTTCTCCTGTGCGAGCTGCACTGGCTCCCGGTGGTCTTCCGGGTGCGCTTCAAGGTATTGGTTCTCATCTTTAAAGTGCTCCATGGCTTAGGGCTCGGGTATTTACAAGACCACCTTCTGCCACCGATAACCTCCCACCAGCCAATCCGCTCCCATAGAGAGGGTCTCCTCAGGGTGCCGTCGGTCAAGCAATGTCGACTGACAACCCCCAGGGAGAGAGCCTTCTCTGTGGGGGCACCCATGCTCTGGAACGAGCTACCCCCAGGAATACGACTGATCCCAGATCTCCATACTTTCCGTCGAGCTTTGAAGACCTTCCTATTTCAGCAAGCCGGGCTGGCTTAAAATTTTAATGAGTTATTTTATGGGCAAAGGGTTTTAAATTTTGGGAAGCCAATTTGATTTAATTCTGTTTTAATTTATTTTAATTTTTATATTGTATGTATTTTAATCTTGGCTGTTCACCGCTCTGAATCCTTCAATAAACCTAACCTAACCTAACCTAATTTACAGTAGCAGATATATCTGATATTATATTTTAAAACAGGAATACTGAAAACGCTGTTATAATATCCCAAAGGTGCTTTTTCAGGAGGCAACTGGACTTCCTAATTTTTTTTCTTTGAAGACATTTCGCTTCTCATCCAAGAAGCTTCTTCAGCTGTGACAGGATAGTGGAGAATGTCTAAAAGGATGCAAATGACTCGCTGTCTGTGAGGAATATAAATCCTTCCATTCCCCACTATCCTGTCAGAACTGAAGAAGCTTCTTGGATGAGAAGCAAAATGTCTTCAAAAGAAAAAACAAGAAAGTCCAGTTGCCTCCTGAAAAAGCATCTTTGGGACAACCATGACCTGGATGACTGAGAATCTCTACAGACACTGTTATAATGGGAAAGCAAAAGCTTTGAAAGATAAATATTTAGTGTTTGGCCTGTCCATAGATATTTAACTATTAACCAATAAATGAAATCATTGCAACATTAAGGGAAGACATGGTCTTCCCAGAGATCTGAAATCATGTAAGAACTTCAACTTCAGTGTTTCTTAATAGAGGCTACTTTTCTTTCCTGTTTAAGCCATTCCATCTCTGTCTTCTTAAAGGAATGTCTAGGCTCATTTCCAAAATAGTAGAGGGCAAATCTAATGGCCTGTGGTGCTCAGTGAGCCCAACCATATGGCTCTCCTGGTTTTAACACATCATCACCTGTAACTCTGTTGTAAAAGCTCACTAGGGACTAGAGACCGTGCCAGTTAATTCTCTCCTGCAGCGATTCTCATGGAATTTTCTGTTTGCTATCCTGAAGAAAACTCCTATGCTTTTAATAGTTGCATTGCAAGAAAATATGATTTCAGTCATTAAAGTGCTACAATAAAATGAGATGAAGCAACTACTGAAGCTGTCTAAAATACCATTGCTAAAAGGAGCAACAGCATCAAACTAATAGCAGATGTAAGTAGCTCTACTTGTAACCCTGAGTATACTCTGAGGCAGGGACATCATTAAAAAAAAAATTACAAAATTAAATCCAGTATTTAACATTTCACACTTTTTAAAAAAATTACATAGATTTGCACCACCATATCTTGAAATGCAAATGTAAGATAGCATGTCTGTTTCCTTAGAACAAAGCTACTTTTTTCGTTCCTGCTTTAGAGTACCATTAAACACAAGGCTTCTCAATTTAACCTACTTCAAAGGATTGTTGTGAGGCTAAAATTAGGAAGGGGAGAGACAAATGTAATTATAGTGAGTCTTACAGTAATTACAGCAAACCTGTGTTAACATTCTTATGTTAATAATGCATCCCTGAAAGATTTGCGTGAGCAAATAAAAATGCAGTGTATCTGAGAAATGCAATGTAATAATCCTGGGGTCCTAATCTATGGTGTTATTGTATATGTGTAAGAGAGAAGGAAGAAAAAATGACAGTGGAAATTAAGGAATATGGGTTTCTGCAAACACAGACAAATATTGTGCTCTAAGGCAGAAATCGGGGATCATAATGTGTACATATATTAAGCTCCAAGGCTATTCTGGCTTAGTATATTAAATTAGACCCGTTGTGCCATGTTTTTGGCTTAGAACAGTGATGGCATGCCCAAAATTTAGAAAACGCTTAACAGAAATCTGTTGGTGTGTCACACACCACCTGCCAAACAAAAGAGAATCAATTCTTTACATATTCATTTATTTTTTAAAAAACAGTCCGATTGTGTGTGATTTCCAAGTTCTGCTGTATGCCACTTACCTTGAGGCGATATTCTCTTTCTGTTGACAATGCCTGCAGTCTACCTGAGATAGGTCCAGCTCACCCAAAGCCTTCGTTCTTGAAGCAGCTTAGGAGAATGCTCTTCTGTAGCCTCCAGACTCCAAAAACTGTGTGAAAGCACAGTATTCTCACACAATTTTCAGAGGCTCCAGAGGCTATGAGAGAGCATCCCTTTTGTGTGACTTCTGGAGTGTCTAGAAGCTGCATGAGAGTACATACCATTGTCGCATGGCCTCTACAGCCTATTTTGAAAATAATTGCTGGGTGTTGGTGAATGCTGATATGTCACCCAAAACATTGTGGTGTGTCACCTTTGACATGTGTATCATGCGTTCACCATCACTGGCTTAGAATAATACGCAAATCTTGAGTTAGGTGCAAAAGATCAAGACCATACATTAAGTTGCAGTTCAAGGATTTATTCCTATACATAAGACTCTAATCAACTAAATTTAGTTTCAATACTAAATTGGTGCCAGATAAGGGTCAATGGAATTCAAGACGGTTGGATTTGGATCTCCTTGGCAACGTAATGATTCTAAGCTGATGACATGCTTAACTCCACTCCCTGCTCTGCCTCCTCTTCTCCAATGCCTTGTTATGGTTTCTTTAAAAAAGATAAAAGGCCTGTAGTGTAAATATAGAATCAGAATCAGGCAACTGAAATGTATTGATTTAAATGAACTTGAGTTTGATCAGGTTTTGCTGAATATAAGACTTATTTCTGAGTAGAGATTCCTAAGATACTGCAGAAAGATTAGTTTTCATAGTTATTAGATTTTTATCCCACCCTTTTTAGTATCTATAATTCAAGACAACGAACATACCTAATAATCTTGCCTCCTATCTTCTCTGCAACAACAACCCTGTGAGGTAGGTTGGGCTGAGAGAGAGAGACTTTAAGACACTACTGTATCTGTGGCTTAGCATTATGTGTAAACTCAGCCATTGTAGCTTATTCAAGAAGCCATTATTAAGTTAACCTTGATTTAATGTAAAATCTATCTATATCTCCACTAGTTCTGCTTGTGTTCACAAATAAACAAACACAGGGTAAACTTATATATCTCGTCTTGTCACAGATACTTGCTGTAATTTAGCTGTTTTAATGCTGAAATGCCAAAATGTGCCAAAATGCATCCTAAACAAAATATAAGTGTGATTCAAACCTTCTAGATTGGAGAAAAGATGATTTGGAGGATGGGAGAAATTTAGGAGGCAAATATGTTCTCCTGTATGCACAATATATTCTACTGTAAGTCAATACTATCCCTAGTTTAATTTTTGTCTTGGCAATTTACTTATCACGCAACATTAATTTGGTAACTTCCTACTTTTTCAACTCTTCCCTCTGCAGTTATTTAACAAATATGGTCTGCTTGTAAAGAATATCTTGTAACTGTAACTAAGACAAACTGTAACTATGACAAATCATAGGAAGTATATCCTGAAGAAGCTTCCAGGAGAACGATATTACGTAGTTCGTTGTAGCCATTTGGTTATATCAAAACATTTTAAGAGCTAACAGACATATGGGTAGCATGATTTACTATATACAAATGTGAACTTGTTTTAGATGCATATTTATTGTAATTACTTTGTAGATAATCCATTTTGCATGTGGAGAAGAGGGAAAAATGAATGCACACATTGTTATTATTATTCAGTTTGAATTCTGCCTAACTTTAGCCAACTTTGGGCAGCTAATTATATTCCAACAAAGCTGCAGAAATGCATCAAAGCTACACTAGCACTTTCTGCCTGAATATTAGATCTGATTTTATTTTCCTCCTTCCTTGTAAAGTGTTTTTTTGTCAGGGGCAACCTGGTCTATCCAATTATGGGACGGAGCATACTACTTCCATTTTCGCCTTTCAGCCCCAGTCCAGGAGCCTTCACAGGCAGTCACTTTCGTGTCAAACTATTTTTGTACTGAGTTTATGTTTTACTGACAAAGAAATGTCTTCAGACAACGCTGGCTCTTCGGCTTTGAAACGGAGATGAGCACTGCCCCCTAGAGTTGGGAACAACTAGCACATATGTGCAAGGGGAACCTTTACCTTTTTAGTATAGATCTATAGCTCTCATCAGCTAGCCATATTCCTTGTAGTTATTTTACAAAATTAGATTTATTTCTCATGCCTTTTTCTAAGCAGTAATGTTGCTCTGTCACCAGAGGGCAGCAGTACCTGGGAAATATGAAAAGTAAATTTCTAGAAATGCCAACTTGTGACTCTTCATTGGTCACAAGTGAGAAGGATGGACTTATACAGGAGGCAGCGCCAACTGAGTGCTTCTTCTTGGCTGTGTTTATACTGTAATTAAGGTGTAATGTGTTAACTGCAGTTATTCAAATTCTGCGGTAGAATTCTTGTCCTTAACTTTCATTTCTGATATCATCCAAATATGAGGATAAGAAGAGGGTTAATGTAAGATCATTTATTTTTTTTCATTCATTTGTTCAATTTATAAACCTGCCCGTCTCAAATTCATGACTGTGGGCCGTTAACAACTTAAAAAGAAACCCCTTAAAACATAAAACTATAAAAACAACACACACATATAAAAGTTGAAATACAACTATACAAGAAATCAGCATAACTATTACACAAGCTTTGCTACCCATCTCCGAGCTAAATGGATATGAAAGACACATTTACTGAACTCCTGGAAAAAAACAGTGCAGGAAAAAAGACCCAGAAATCTGTAATAAATGACTTAGAGGATTTGATAAAGTAAGTCTGAATACCGAGGATTATTCATATTAAAAATTGCATCTGACGTAAAGCAAAAAATGCTCATATTTTATTATACTGTTATTACAACAAATTGATTTTTAAACTTTTTCTAAGCCTTTTCTAGGCAAATCAATCTTTATCTTCTAGACAATTATACAAGATGCTGAAACTGTTGAAGATGGATTCTTGTAACCAATGTGTCCCCTCCATCCTATCCAGAGGGACTCTGGCCACAATTTAAAATCTACCATGAATTTTTTAAAAAATTACAACTTTGATAAACCACAGAATGTCAGCACATCCTCCTGCACATAGGAGGCTCCAAATGCTGACCAACATGACTACTTCCAAGCAAACCAGGCTTGATCTCAGTTTGTTGGAATATCTGGAACCAAGCTAGTCTGGATAACTTCATATGAATAGCTTTTGTGGCTGTTTTGTAGCAAGGAGGTTGCATTTGTCTTTGACTTCCCTTGGGGAAAAAGCTTTATTTTGTACTGTAGCTAGGAAACCAGGATTATCAGCTGTAATAAAGGGAGGTTAGCTTAGTTCTTTTTTATTATTGCTTGAGACAGGAAGAATTGTGGTAAAAACAGTAAGAACTTCAGTTTTACTATGTTTGAATGGAAGATGTGCCCATTCGGGGCCACAGAACAGCAATGGAGATGAATACCTTCAAGTGTGAGTAATGTCACTGTCCTAAAAAGAACTGAACCCCAAACATCTTGTGTTCAAAAGATGGACCATGCCTTTCAAGTTTGCTGTTAATATTTGGCTGAAGGTTCTCATTGTTTACATTAAGGGTAGAAAAGAAATTCAGGGAAATGGGCGTTCAAAGCATTTCAGTGTTGGGGTATTCTGTACAATGAAAGCTGCCCTCTGGAAAACACTCCTCAAAAGAAAGACTTTTTTCAAGGGACACAAACCTAGAACTGACTCAAACAAATTTAATTTGCAGATTTGTTTTATGACGCCTATGCCGTAAAAGACCTTGATGGCCCTGCCTTCTTAAAATTCTAGCATCATGTTCTTGTTTTATCTGTTGTTTGGGATAGATTTTACAATAGTTTTCCTCCACCTGATGTTTCCAGATAGTATTGGACTACCAGAAGTACCCTGAAATTTCAGACATGCTGGGGCATGGTAGAAATTGTAGCCCTGATCCATTTACTGGACTTCCAACTGGAAAAGGATAGAGATCAAAGGCTTCCATCCATCCATCCAAATCTTAATGGGCAAGTTGCATTGAGTGATAACAATCAGTGTTCAACAAATTCAGAGGGTCCCCCTCCCCCCAGTTCTCCCTCTTTATTTCACAAATATGTTAGAGATTGTGGAGAAAGGAACATTCTGTGAGCATTATTATAACCTCTGGGAAAATGCAGCCAGCAGTAATAACTAGATTCTGATCTATGATAGTTGATCAGTTCATATTGGAATTCAAAAATATGAAATTCCAAGAGCATCTTCATTTCCTTTTTCCCTCCGTCCTCAAATAGCCTCTAGTGAAGAAAAACTCTCAGTGTGTTCATTTTATGCTTGGATTCATGGTGTGTATGATCTGTTACAGACTGTCAAAGGAATTTGAAAAATGATTCTCAAAGTATTTCCTTTTTCTTGCAAACCAAAAAGCACCTTTGCAAGTAGATACTGTATGAGAAAATTGCAGTATTTGCAAGTATGTGTTATTATCCATTAAACTAAAATTTGAGCTAGTACACACAGGAAACTACCTTATTACCAGCCTGTTTTCTCTGGAGCTCAATAACAACCAGCCCTTCCCAACCTACTGATCTTCAAACAATCCTGTTATTTGTAGCCCTCCACAGATGGCATTGGATTGGGGATAGCTGTGCTGCATTGACTAGCAGGCAGAATCTGTCCTACAGTTGGTATATCTGGGCTGCCAAAATCTGGAAAAGCAAACAGTGGCAGCAGAGAGTTAGAAATTTCTTTGCTAAGTTGAATGGTAGTTGTTGGGGTTTGTTTGTTTGTTTGTTTTTATATGTAAAGACCCACTAAATTATAGAATACAGTGACCAGAAAACCTTGGATTTTTAGGAATTCTTGAACAATTGTTAAGTCTCCTTAAGGAGAGGGAGAAGAATTACCAACTTTTTAACCTCTCTTGGATCTGGTACCTTTAAGAACTGCTAGGTTTGACTTTGACACTCATTTTATTCACTGTCAATTTCAGAACCTGAAGATTGTGAGTTCTAGTCACGCCTTAGCCAGTCTTTGAGCCAGTCACTCTCTTTTAGCCCAGTTTACCTCACAGGGTTGTTGTTGTGAGGATTACAGGAGGAGGAAAAAGTATTAGGTATGTTGGCTGCCTTGAGTTATTTATTGAAATAATAAAAAGGTGGGAAATAAATAAACAAATAGGAAATTACCTGCTAATTTCTGCTGACCACTTTCTTAAAAATCTATTGATGATTCCAGGTTTTGGAGTGGGGAATATCTAGATTCAATTGCATTTGTAGATCTTACACCGTCTCAGAAATGGCAGAATTTTCATTTGGGGATAAATTAATTATTGAAGTAGAAATAGTAATGGTAAGCATATCTATATACACATGGTCATTTAAGTGTCTTTCTTTTCATATGCTAAATATCTGTAAGAAGAATATCTGTAGGCTGGGGAAAGTACTGAAATTTTGGATTATTTAATTTATGAAGGATGCATTATATTTCATTAAACTTCACTCTTAATTTGTGGGGGAGAATGATGGAACTAGTTTCCGTGCCCATATTTCTCTTTCTGTTGGTTTTATTTTCTTTCTTTTCCTCCTTTTTATTTAATTGATACTTATTTTCCACTGGCTTTTGCATGTTATCAATTTTTCTGTGCCTTCTATTCACATTGCTGTGCACACATATTTTGAAAAACCACTTTCTCAAATCATTTAATGTTATTTAAAAGTTATTTAAAGAGAAGTAGCAAGACGTTAGTCTCCCTTCTCAAGCAAGGAAGAATCCTTCCTCTCATCAGGTTCATAGCTTGTCTCAAAATGCTTAGGAACAAAAAAGCCAGCATTTAACATGTTAATTCAGAGGTACTCCCTGCCTGGTCCTTTTGTCCCAGCCCTCTACTTCTGTCTAGAGTGATCAGCTGATGGGGTGGGAGAGAAGAGAAGAGAGTTACACCCTGAATGTTTCTGTGCCTTGCATCCTCCAAAGAGGGATGATCTGAGCCATTTTTCTAGGCTCCTTGGATCCCCCTTACTCTGAAGAAGTGGGTGGGTCAAGGGTGAAAAGGAAGACATTTACAGGAAGAAGATACGTACAAAGAAGTGCAGAAGGAGACCACAGAAAAGTTATGGAGTCTGACCTGTGAGTGAATCTTTACTGTTTCCCCTGGTAGGGATGGTCATAGTGGGATATAAGCAACTTGAAGGCAGCTGCCGATCGATCAGAGGCAATGTTATAGAGTACAGCATTGCCAATCAGGAAGAGCCACTATCAAAAGGTGGGGAGGAGCCACTGGCAAAGCAATGGCCAATTGCTGATGGGTGTTTGCTAGCGCCTGCTGAAGGCTGGGTTCCTCTCCTATGTTAGAGAGGGACTTTGGTCAGATCCAGCTGGGGAGGTGTATTTTCTCTTAAATGAGTGGATTTACTCAGCCAACATGGAGTAGTTAATGCTGAACTAGTCAGAAACTTGCTCTCTTGTTTTATAATCTTTTGAGGAATGCGTAAAGGAATTACAGAGATTCAAAGGCAGAGGTGCAAGTTGTTAGCTGTCATCTAGGCATGGTGGGAGGAAAGGTGAAACATTGCTGCAGGAAGTCACCAATCAGTGTCTTCTTCGCTGTGCCTGCAAGGAATATTTCCTTTGTGGGGAAAAGCTAGGAGGGGAGGAAATGGAGGAATGGAGATTGGAAGAAATGTCAGATTTTCTGAATAACCCAAGCTTGTTAGAGCAAAATATGTCAAATGGATATGGGGAAAGGACTGGCACTCTACACGGAATATTCCTAAATATTGGGAACGAAGGCTTTTTCAATGATTCTATTATTATTCTTGGGTTTCAGGTCACATCTTTCAAGAGACACTATGGCTCTAATGGTGTGATTGAAATATATTTTGCTCTTACTTTTTATCTTTTTAAGAGCCATATTTTCATGCTGAGCTTCCCAGTATTCATTTCCCCATTCTTGCCCTCTCATGCTGCACTTTATGAATTGCATCAGCATATCATTTTTCTTAGTAAATTCAGTGATGTGTGCACACTGTTGTAATAAGGAAGCCAAACATGTTTACAGCTCTGTACTCTGCAGAGCCTGCAGTAGAAAGGAAGAGGGGTCTGAGGTCAGAAGGAAAAAGAAATGGGGAGGGAGCCATTTCAGAATATTTTGAGTAACAATGGAGTAACAAAAAGTGGGTTGAATTGGGGGAAAAGAAAGAAAAAGAATCAGCTGGAAGCTAGGGTGCTCCTATATTTTGGTCACATGCAAAGGGCTATGATATAAAAATCCATGTTTTGGAGACCTTGCTTCAACTAGTAGCATCTGCTCAGCTGCCTTTGGGAATAAGAATTAGGTACTGCGATAATGATCAAGCACTGATCATAGCAGCACAAGAACAGGTGCTAAGTGCCAGATCCATAGAAACACATCTCTACCACAGTATACAGGGCCCAAAGTGCAGACTACGCAGAGAGGCCTCTGAGACAGTTCAGCACATAAGGACAGGGTGTAAGATGCAGGCAGGAACAGCATCCTCTGAACGACACAACCAAGTAGCTGGCTTTGAATACAGGGACATCTGCACAGTGTATGGGCTAGATCTTTCCAAACCAGATAGGAGATTCCATAGACGGTCATAGAGAATAAATAGGCTAAGACCCCGTGGGACTTCCAGATCCAGACGGACTTGCAGATCAACCAGACATCATGGTAATAGATAAGTGGTGATAGATGCAGCAGTGCCAAGAGTCAATAACATCAGGCAGAAGGAGTATGAAAAGTTGGAGAAGTACCAGGGCCTGAAGGAAGAACTAGAGAGGAAGTAAAGGCCAAAATAATCCCAGTCATAGGACTGGAACTCTTCAGCTGGGAGAATGACCTCCAATAGATCCCAGGAACAATGTCAGTGCTTTCTCTCCAGAAGAGTGCAGTGCTAGGAACAGCTAAGAATGCACAGAACCCTTAAACTCCCAGGCCTTTGGTAGAGGATCTGGGACTGAGGAAGACAAATGCCACCCACAGGGGTGAGAAGGGATTTTTACACACACACACACACACACACACACACACACACACACACACCTGGTTAATAAGAAATAATGGGACTTGCAGCCTGATGGCAGTTGGGGCAGCATAGATATCCCAGCCTTGAACCCATCTGGAAAAGCAGTACTTTTCACCTGTATGTCCTTTAATTTAAAGCGAGGGATCTGGTGCACACATCCCACCTGCTAGTTTTGCCTCCTGTTATGGAATGTACGCAAAACTGTTAAGGTTTACTTGGTGGTGGCATTCTGCACATGGCCATAGCATTTCCCCCCCCTCTTTTTGCATTGACCCAATACTCATGATAGGGGAAGGTGGGGGCCTATATGCTCAGTAGTGCTGAGGGTGGGGTCGAGTGTTCCAAAGGAGATTTCCCCACAGCAATGAAAACAAGTCAGTCCTTATATGGAAGGAAATAAAGCTGCGCTGGGCATGGAATCTCTCCTGTCACTGCTTTTGCCATTTGCAGCCCTTTTCATTCTGTGTTCCGTAATTGAATGACAGCCATAGCAAATGAGTGCCATTCCCATCTGGAATTTACCTCCTCCCCGTCTCACCCACTTTAAGATTGATTTGTTTGCTTGTTTATTTGGCAAGCAGGGACTGCAAGCAGAGTGAGATTGAAAAACCAGTACTTGATCTTAATAAATAGGTGGATACACACACCCTCTTAAGTTTTATGGTTAAAAATAGGTTCTGGACCTAAGCCCTGATGAAATCCCTGTGCTAAGTACAGCAGAAGAAGCTTTCTGTGTCTTTGGCGGCTGGAATGCAAAGCCTTTGATGGGGCTTACCTTAATCTCTTTTTTGCCCCTCTGCTCCCCCTCCCCAAACTGACTTATTTGTGAGTGGGTCGAGGATTTGCAAATGTATTGTCCTCAAGTCATCGTTTTCTCCTTTAACCATGCTGGATATCTCATTGTACGTGGCTGAGAAAGTCCTAGGATTTTTGTGGTGTGGTCTTCCTCACTCTCTCTCTTTCTGGGGGCTGGGTGGGGCTAGGCTGCAATCCTCCCCAGTGTATTTTTCTTGACTTGCAGGGGTGTGGTATTGTTTGGGATTAGTCCAAAAGTTGCTAGTTTCTCTCTTTTTTGGCTTTCTTTTCAGCAGGCCCTTTCTCTTAACCTTGTATAGCCATGAGAGTAAACCCTGAGTCTTTAGCTACAGGTATATGCTTTCCTTTTCCCCTTCCATTGGATGCCTCAGTCCTTGTTCCCGTTTTGAACCTTCAAAATAAGAAGCACCCTGTTCCTTTCTGGGAAGAAGGGAGGGTATTATGGGTAAAATAGTCATTGGCTGAGTTGGAAAGGCAGAATCAAAGGGAGAGACCAGAAGATTCCCCCTGTGGCAGTCTATGCTGGTTTTTTTCCTAACTACTTGGTCAATTGGTCAATTTGTGTAGGAGGCTGACAGAGGACCAAGGGTCCCCCCCAGGGGTGAAATCCAGAAGGTTCTGGAGAACCAGTAAATACCACCTCTGGCTGGCCCCAGAGTGGGGTGGGAATGGACATTTTGCAATATCCTTCCTTTGGAAAGGGGTGGGAATGGAGATTTTGCAGTATCCTTCCCCTGCCACGCCCACCAAGCCACACCCATAGAACCGATAGTAAAAAAATTTGGATTTCACGACTGGTGTTCCCCCCCCCCAATATTCTGGTGTGTGTTTTTTAAACAACAACTTCTTACTTGATTTCTTGACTCTTCCTGTGGAATGAGTAACTCAGTTCTTGAAAGTGGTCCATGTTTTAGGTTGTCTCCCAGTCTGTGGCTCACTCTTCTGCCTCTTCATGTCCTTGGCCCCTAATGCTTTCTTGCTCACTCGGATTAGGCCGCCCTAATGATTCTGTGCTGGTCTGGGCTGCCCTAGTAACTCCTTTATGTTCCTAGCTCCTGTGGCTTTTTTGGCCTCACATCCTCGTCCCTGGGAACTGCCGCTGTCTGTTTTCTCTCTTTTTCTCTTCCTTTCTTCCTCTCTTCCTTCCTTCCCTGGCCCAGTGTGTGGCTGAGTCTCTTTGTTTGGCTTGGGGGCGTTGCTATGTTTTTTTCTGTTTGTTCAGTGCTGTCCTTCTTTTTCTTGACTTTGTGTTTTTTCTTCTCTTTTCCTTCCCCCTCTTTCTTCCTCTCCATTTTGGCACGCACCTTTCATCTATCTTCATATATATCAACTCCTCCCTTTATTTCCCCTCCTTCCATCCAACCCTCTTATCTTTCTCTCTTTTCCTGTCTCTCTCTGTTGCTCCGTCTCTGCTGCCTTCTGTAGGTCGTCCACGTGTCCCACTCTGCACCAGTACTGCTGCTCTGCTCAGTCGCTTCTCCACTCGCAACTAGCTTCCCCTGCCAGGCACACAGGCTGCAGGTAAGCCACTGAGAATCCCCAACCACCCACCCACGTCCTCACTTAAAGCCATTGTCATATCTTGACATGCCACCTGATCCACAAATCCAGCATCCCTTAGAAGGTTTTTGAGGCAGTGCTGGGGTGGAGTGGAAAATGCCTTTTTTTAGAGGAGATGTGTTGATCTACCATTTCCATCATTCACAGCCTGCAGCCCAAGGAGGGAAGGAGACTTACAGCGCTAAAAAGCTTGGTCTTTCTGGGATCTTCCTCACTCCTGGCAAGCAATTCTGATCCCCAAGTCAGGATTCCAGAATTCCATGGCCACCAGGATTCTGGAGTTCCATGACAGCTTTGGATAGGGACTTCAGCCAATCCACATTTAGGGGGTCCTGGATGGGATATTTTCAGAAAGTTGCCTTCTTTCCTATTTTTTCACTATTGCTGTCTATTTTTTTTTTTTTTTTGCTCCTGTTTTCTTGGCCCAATTCATGAACCTTCCAAAGGGGAAGGGCAAAATAAGGAGAAGCTGCTGCTTATTCTTTCAAGGCAAGCAGTAACAATTGCTGGAGCTATAGAGGCAGGGCTCTGCTATGGGCATTCCCTTGGCAGATGCCAATTCCTGATGGCAGCTTGATGAACAGAGGAGGCTTTTTGCCATCATAAGGGAATTCTGGATTTCATTTTCTCCATGATCACAACATTTTTATACCTAACCCCTGTCACAGCTCACTCTTCCCTGATTCCTGCTGCCCCATATGTTGATTTCAATTACATTACATAGACCAACAGCTACTTCATTCTCCCCACTCTCTCCCTTTCTGCCTAGGTTAGGCAAGAAAAATAATTTTAGTGTAAGTTTCTGAGACCCTGCGATTTTCTGTTCAGGTGGTTCAGGCAGAAATTGTGGATATGGACATAGGAGGCTTGTGATGCTTGTAAGAATATACATCGTGTCTCAGATAGGAATTGTGGCAGCATGATTAAGGGACAATTACATGACAAGAATATCTGTGTATCAAGAAGTGCATTTTGGCACTGAATTTCAGCATGGAGGCCTTGCTAATTTTGATTATTTTTTGTCTTTTTCTTGGCATGCAAGTGTGCTTATATGTGTGCATTTATGTGTATATTTAAAACTTATTTCTACTTTTCTATGCAGTAATAGTCTTTAGAGATATGGACCATTACTTCTTAAGTTTGTTTGTACAACTGGTATAGCTTTTCTTACGACACTGGTGCGTTTACTATGAAATGAGCTTTGGATCAGATCCCATTTCATCAAATTCTTGGAATATTTTCTAACTTTTTAGAATATTTATTAAATATTTAAAATATTATTCCTAGAATGTTCTTGGACTCTAACTTACTAAATGGTTTAATAAGCTAGACTCCAACCTGCAAAGGCTCATGCCATAATAAATAAATAAAGAAAAGTAAGTGAGTCTTTCAAGGGTTGTATACTTCTGAATCACATCTTCATGACTATTTAGTTTTTTCTGATTGCTGATATTTTTTTTATTTTCAACATGCTTTCTGTTAGTTATATGGCTACTAAAAATAAGGAGCTTAACCAGAAATAACACATGTACTAGAAAATGAGTATCTCAAATGGCCCAGGAATGTAGCATGCATGAATGATTGTGATAGAACGCATTCTCATGATGTGTGGCCCATCAGAGTTCAGAGTTCATGCAGGTTCTAATTATAAAGAAGAACTCACCAGGTGCATAAAAGAGATTCCTTTTAGCCTTATTCCTTTTTTTGTCTGAGAAGACAAAAATAAGGTTGCTGAACACATGGAAGATTGCAAGATGTAGCTGGAAGGCTATGTTTAGGTTAGTAGGCCTTGTCTTACACTATGTCGCAGACTGCCCTACTGACTGCTTCTCTATTTACACATGGATCGATTGAGTGAGGCTTCCATACAAGTTGTCCTTGTTTAGCAACCCCAGCTGGGACTGACAACTTGGTTGTTAAACGAAGCAATCACCAAGTCAAACTGCTCCTGTGCTTGCTTGCTTGCTTATTTACTTATGATCTTATTTCATTTTTCCTTTAAAAACTTGCAAAGGACATAAATGGAAGGATTAGTTGTAAAGTTAGTTTTTCATCAGCATTGTTACTGCTAATAGTCACTGAAAGAGGATTACCTGTACTACTCAATTCCCATAGGCTCTGAGTAGCCTACAAACCACCAAAACCTAAGTTGAAATATATTTATGCAGTTGAACCATTGTGAATAATGTTGTCCTATAGTGAAACATAACCAGGGAAGAAATAGCACATGGCACAGATGATTAGCAACAGGTTGCATAATTTCAGTGGAAGCCTTTCTAACTACTCTTACAAAATTGCTTTTTTTTTTTCTGTAAATGCCCTGCTCATAGCTCATGTGCCATATATAGGACAGTGTGGCTTGGAAAAGTCAATCTTTTTGCTACTTCCTCCCCCAAAGCCTATTTGTATGAGTGTATCTGTACCCTTATGTGAAAAGAGAGAGAAAAGTACTGGAATTTCTTTGAGCAAAAGGCAATTGTACTGTTCTTTCTGTTTCCATAAACAATGCTTGACCATTTAAAAAAAAGCACTTAGCTTAACTGCATTTTCAAACGTGGAGCTTATTTTCTATATAGGAGTACATTCCTTCCTTTCTTTTGGGTCACGGGCAGTTCTAGAGAGGAGCAGATTGCCCTTTCACAAGTGCAGTTACCCGGAGGGGAACAAGCGGCCAGCCTCCCCAATCCAGGTGGCAGCAAAGCAATACAGAAGCATCCACTTATGCTGTCATTTAGTGACTATCTGAATTTTATCAATTCAAGAAAGGCCTATCAAAACAAAAAAAGTGCAAAGAAATGAAGAAATGAGCAAGTTGAGTTCTTCAGAGAGTAGCGGTGAAAAGGCCCCTTTTTATCTAAAGCCCTGGAGGAGAGTCACTGAAAATCATTGGAGGTGATGCTTATAGAGAGGCCATTAAATGCATCAGAAAGGAAACAAATTATTGGGCATCTGTAGGAAAGCTATCAGGACAAGTGCTTTGGGCTTCCCTCTGAAGATGATAAATGAGGATGACAGTAGTGTCATGTGTCAAAAAGACAGCCCAAATGATTCTCTAATCCTAATTAAACAAGGGTTTAAGGACCCTCATTTTTATGAATAAGTATTTCTGTGAAGCATCCTTAATGTTTTTAATTCTCTTTCCACTTTAAGTTGGGGAAGTGTTTTTAACACTTTTTCTCTAAAACCAAAACCGTATATCTGTCCTTTATCAATTAGTAACCAGGCATTCTCTTCCTAAGAACCGAAGAGTGGTGAGTAGCAAATGTCTATATGCAGGCTGTGTAATGTCTGTGTAATATATGTATGGCATCCTGAATGACTGTATGGAATCTATGTAAAATTTGAGGGAGACAGACAGATTTTCTGAATTGAGTGAAAAGGAGGGATTATTTGAAGGAGTAGCTCTTCAAGATAAAAAATCTCTACTTTTTATACTTGCCCCTAGAAAGGATATCCACTCGCTAATGCAGGGGTGTCAAACTCAATGCCCATGGGGCCACTTGGAAACAGTGAAGGACCAGCCCGCAGTGCCTCTGCCAGTGAAAATGGAGCTCGGGAGGCTGCAGTGGCTTCTTGCAACCCTCTGCCAGCAAAATGGAGCTCGGAAGGGCCGTGTGCGGCCCTCCCAAGCTCTGTTTTCTCTGGTAGAGGGTTGCAGGAGGCCATTGCAACCTCTGGAGGCCATTGCAACCTCCGGAGCTCCATTTTCGCTGGCAGAGCGCTCGGGCCACCACAGGTACCCCTGACACAAGTGACGTCGAGCTGGCCATGCCCACCTTGGCCACGCCCACCCGGTTCCCAAGGTCAAACCCAACCCTGATGCGGCCCTCAATGAAATCAAGTTTGAAAATCCTGCGCTAGGGGTTTGCAATATGAATTCTGTAGGCCAGTGTTTCTCAGCCTTGGCAACTTCAAGACAGGTGGACATCCGCTCCCAGAATTCCCCAGCCAGCATCCTGACTTAAAGTTGGCAAGGTTGAGAAACACTGAAGTTAGGCATTGACAGGTCTCCAAGAATTACAGTAAAGGGGCAGGACAAGACAACTGCACAATCTCCCTGAGTGATTGGCTGTACACAGTTACGTAGCTAAATCGTCTATTTCATGCCATGTTCCATCCACAGCTATTTCTAGTCGTCTTTCTTTTGAACCCAGACCTGTGTAGCACAGTCATAACATGGGAACATATTTGGATTAATTTATCCAATTACACAAGTACCAAGCAAGAACTGTTGACATCTGCAAACATTTGTATTGTTTTGGCCAAAAGTAGAAGAAGAGAAGTGGAAGTGGCCATTATGTTATGAGAGAACTGAGAGCCATATGATTCTGTTAATGTTCTTGAAATTGACTGGATAAGGTTATGTAACAGGTGCTGAACCTGATCCTTCCATTCCCACCGAGTGGTATGTTCCTTTACATCCCCAAAGAGTAAACAGTGTCAGTGTATTTTTAGTTTCCTTTGCGCAATGGAGAGAGTCAGGATCACATACAAAACAGAGTAAAACTAATATAAATGTGATAAAACCCAGATAATATAGATAACTGAAGGCAAGTTTAAAGATAAGATCCTAAGGACTTCTGTCTAGAAATGCAATAACCTCAAGTGAAAGTGGATAAACACACAGACTACAAGAACTGCAGCAAAACTGCTGCTATTTTACGCAGGGAAAAAAGAAAAGGGTTCACAGAAATTCAGAAATAACCCTACTGAGTGTTTTACTGTCTGTGCTCTTGTGAACAGAAGGTGGATGGGAGACCTCAGTGCTAACTGAAGTAATGATCTGGCACATAAATAAGGTGCTATGTTTCCATGTGTGTTAGTAGTTAAAAGATGAATGCAAAAAAGAAAGAAAAGAAGAAGAAAGCAAACTCAGACGTATTGGGCAAAGTAACAGTGTGTTATATTGTAGAATAAAATACCCAAGTGGTAACTTGGATATATATACTATATACCTCTTT